GCTTGTATAGGTAAATAATTGTGTTTATTTACGTAAATACCGTGCCGTTTGCTGACGGGAAATTGCAAGACAAAGTTGAAGTTTTTGTATTATTTTTACTTTCTACTTAGCGCCCTTGCCGTTGTTGTTTAAAATCGATTCGAAAACTTTTTCGTCATATGTGCTGTCAAAATATCTCTTGAATATCTTTGACAATCCGCCAGCTATCAGCAATGCGATCGGAACAATTTCTTTCTTTTCTTTTCGCCTTAGTAGGCCCCCAAAATTTGTTAAATGTGCCACGTGCGCAATTTCTCAAAAAGAAATTGGTCAATGCATTAAAAGTGCATTACATGCATAGCAAAAACAAATGCAACAAAAGCACTCAAAAGTCTATATTGCCACTCCCATAAGTTTCATTTGATTTGCTTCTAAGTTATGTAAAGAAGACGCGAAAGTTTGATACCTGGTTAAGTGAAACAGTAAAATTCACAAAGTTGTCGTAAGATCACGAAGGATTAACGTATGCATTAGAATACTACTTCATAACAAAAACATTGGACGCTAGAAGCGTCAGCGATTAGAACTCAATAGATTAGAGATTCGAGATAGGACCATGCAAATTTTATAAATCAAACAAAGCTAAAGAGTTTGCTGAAGTTTGCTAAAGAACTTATTCGGATATAAAGTTCCCATCAAAATTTTATAGTGTCATCATTCGTCTTCTATCATCCCCGTGGCCAGTTAGTTGCATTCCACATGGAATTCGATATAAACAAACACGGACGGAACTTGTTCAGCTCAACATTTATTAAAGGACGATAAGAGCATGAATAGTTATTGGTAAGACGGTCCAGCATTTCGTCTAGCAGCAACCGCTGACCAATGAATTAACAGAATAGACTAAATAAGTCCATTATGCAAATCCAAGGGGACGTAAGCCGGGTGGAAAATTAAAATTTATTTGATTTACTTGAAGAGATGTACGCCAGATACTTTTACAAAAAGTCCTATCAATGCTCGAAGTTCGTGAACGGCGAAATTGCATTCGAAGTTTCACTTTTAAATGGTCGTCTCAATGAAGCTCTATGATGGGTACAAATACTTTCTACAAACATGTATTAGTGTACTGGAGGAGGTGGAAATTACTAGAAGAGCAGAAAGCGTTGTAACTCGCCAGCAGGGCTTTCTTCGACCCAACTAGTCCTTTTGGAGAGTGTGGGGAGAAATCCAAAACTTCAAGGAAAAAATTTATTTCTGCCAACGGGTTTCTTCCGAATAGTCTATAAAGCATTGAACGCATTGCTTACGCTAACAAAAACCAATACAGTTCGAGGAAGTTCACCGTGGCTCTGTAAAAGACACGCCCATCCATTTTCTGATTCCGAAACTATTATTATTGTTATTGCAATTAATTTAGCCAGAGAAATAAATTCTAAGACTAACGTGTCTTAAAACGGTAGGTAGCATATCTGAGGCTATCCGCTTTCCATTGTGTATAGTTGGACCTTGCCCATTCCCCGAATTGAATACAAAGCACATATGTTTTTTGTAGCGTAAAAATAAACAGTGTTAAGGCAAAGCTCATATTCGGTTAAATGACTTCGCAAATAAGGTTTTAGTGCCCTTCAGATCTAAAGCCGTACGTGTATAAAAATCAATTTTACGCGTAGGTTTTTTTCGGGCAGTTTGTGGCCGGGTAACGTTATTTTTGAACATGAAAATGGACTTGAATCATACGTTGCAACATGCCATGCATTTCGTGGCATTAACGATTCCTCCTCATATATAACGCTATTGGACTTTTTATTTTGGGGTTATGTGTGTGTGAGGCATTGGCTTACCCCAGTAAATAACGAACTCTGAATGGTTGATTGGGCTGTTAGTAAAGCAAGAGCAGCTTTATATGAAAATTTGGCGAAAATTGTTGTTCTACGATTGAATTGTTATAGAAGCCCAAAGGGGGTGAATCATTTGGATGAAATCATTTGTTAAATAAGAATAGCGTCAGCTAATGTCTGAAACAAAACACTTGTTTGATGACCCATGATAATGCGTGAATTAAAAAAAACACATGATTTTAACTCTTGCTTTTTTTTTTTTTTTTTTTTATTGTTTTGCATAATACGAAGAAGAAGTTACTGCGACAAACGTTTACAAATGAAATTGAAATTTTTTGCTTAACTTGAATGAAAAGATTTTTACTCTGCAGATTTCTATTATTGTGTCGTGCCGTGTTCGTATGAACAATATAAAGATTCTTTGATAATTAGTGTAATTAATATCTTTTCTTTTATCTTTCTATTTCCTCCTGGCTTATCTTAGTGGAATGATGTCTTAATAAATATCTCCATCATAATTGATTTTTTGAATTTTTTCGATATAATTTCATACCCTGAGAGATAACTTATTTGATTGTGTCAATGTGCTGTTGTATGTATTAAAATACTCTTGTCCGGGAATTGGAGAGTTTTCCTTTAAGCACCGTCGCAATTACACTTGAATATCACGACTTATAAATCTATCTGGTATTTTCCAATTTTCCGAAGCAACCTTTCGAAGAATATTAACAGACGCGTACGGGCAATGTGATATTGTTTCAAAATCTAGCGGCGCTTGCGAACATATACATACATGCCTTTGCATAGCAATAAGACCTCCAAGCTATGTTTGCCAGGTCGGAGCTCGCGGATTCAAATCTCAACGCGGTTTTCCCATAATTGGTCGTGGCTATAGCAAGTGTATTCAGTCGGTAAAGACCTAACACATACGGCTAAGACACGTACTCACTAGTTTGCGCCCTGCTTTCTCCTTTCTCGTTCCCACGTTTAAGAGACGAGTCACCTAAGCTATTGGTCTTGTTAAAATAAGGAGAAAGACTATAGACGGACACAGACCGCTATTAAATATTCTGCATCACATTTCAAAATAAGACGTTATCTCTATCGCGGTCGGGCAAGCGGTGCGCATTAGTTCTTTCGTCAAAGCATATTGGTGCAGCAAATTTCATCAAAACATCTCAAAAATTGCCACATGTAGTTCGTAAATCAAAAAAGTAGACAGACGGGTGGACAGACAAGCTTAAATCATACATACATACATACATATGTCTGCATAAACTTAATATACCCTTGTACCATAAGTGGCTTGGGATATAAAAATATTCAAGAAAATTGTGCAAAGTATTTTATTTAAAGCATTGTCTTATCGCTAGTTACTGACTCTTCTCGCCTTACTAATAAAATACAAGTTGTATGTAAGAAGAAGAACGCCTTGTCTTTTGTGTGTCTTTCCACGAAAGGGATTTTATGTTAGATATTGCTATAAGAAGTGGTAATGAGCTCGAGCAGAGTGAAACTCGAGCACTGATTGAAAACCCGGTGTTAATCAAAATGCCCAATGCCTCACGATTTTAACGGAGATGGTGCAATATTTTAGTTCAATGATATTAACGTTTCGCGTACATCATATACTCTGTGGTATAAAATTGAAGGATGAGCGTACACCGATTCGACAATAAAAGATTTTCATTTTTACAATTTTTACTATCATAATTAACTACGGCCATGACTATTTCCAACTAATAAAATATGCAACTTGCATATGTCTGCTTCCATCGAGGCAGATGGTTTTGGATTAAAGCTGTAATCGAAAGAACTTAAAAATCACTTCAATGGCGCAATTGTTAATGCGTTTTTACATTACTTTTTGATTTTTCAAGTAAAATGAATGAATATGTACGCACGCAGGCAGGGACGATCATTCATTATAAACTCGATCCAGTTTGATTTCCGACTACACCGATTTCTTTCGCGATCATTTTTGTAGTGCGCTTTAACTGAGCTCCTAAGTTTTCTAAGTTGCGCCCATTATCAGTTTCCAAGTAAATGAATTACTATTATTTTAAAATGTCAATGTACGCAACACGCAGAAGTACTTGACGCAGATACACCTTTCATTGTAGTATGCTTAACTTACAAGTCACAACTTTTGGGATATTTTGATGAGTGATTTCGTACATCGACATATTTTGGCCCAAGAATGGATTAACATATTTTCCCTTGTAAAAGATGATTATCTTTCCCGTCGAAATTTTGAATAAAAAATAAGTTCTTTTCACTGGATGCTATGTTTGCCTATAGCAGGCAGCATAGAATGATTCGATGATTAGTAAAAAACTGTTAATTTTGTGATTTCTTCCGTATGATTCCTTGTTAGGTTTCTTTTGGTCTGCGTTGCGTACCTTTTGTGCGCACATTTGGATTGAGAATTATTAACACAATTAAAAATGTACGCAGTTCATATTATTGAATGAAATTATAAGCTTTTTGGAGAGCGGCTATGGATTTCATAGAATTCCCATATATACACCTTTAAGATTGTTGTTGTTCGTAAACTTCTTGTCAAAGTGTTTTACGGTTTTTACCTTTGACGTTTGGTTATGAGCAAACTTCGGTTAGGTTGCAGGAAAATTGATAGTGCTTTTGCCACACGCCACATGTGTTGCAAGAGCATATTAACTTTGTTCGAATGTATGCAATATCCATAAAGGCTTGAGATAGGCCCAACTTTTATTATACGGATCGATCAAAGCTTGTCTGTCTGTTTCTCTGTCATTTTATTCTTGCTTTATAGGCCGCAATTTTGCAGCTAATTTAATGAAATCTGGTACACTGACGTCTTCTCTCCCTAGAACGAATGCTATTCAAAATAGTTCGGGTTGGAGCACTTATTCGACCACGTCACATATAACAATTTATTTTGAAAAATCATCCTATGAATAATTGTGTATCACGCAAAGTGATGCAGGGTATTCAGTAAGTGACTATGGCTCACTGTACTGCTTCTACTTAAAAAAGAAAATAAAACAAAAATTTTTTTTTCCCAACGTGTTACAATATCAGTTGAAATTTTTTGGCTATAAATTTAAGATTATACTTGCATTAATGCTAATATTTTTATAATAAAATAATTCCTTTTTCTTTTACTCTTTACTCTTTCTCTTTTCCTTCTTATTACAGATTCACGGCACATAATTGCATGCATTAGCTGACTTCCGGTTCCTAATAAATTACAGCAACTGCTACACTTACCAAGCAGCGTATACTAAATGCATACGCGTATATACTTACGTTTATATCAGCGCATATTTATATACACATTTCGCAGTAAAATTTAATAAAATTTACTTTACTTGACAGTTATCGTTGTTAACTCTTCACCGCTTCTAAGCGAGAATTAATATTATATATATAACGTTATCGTATGAAATCTAAAATGTTTTTCTTTCCGATAATTTCGTACAATTAAATGCATCGCAGAATTATGTAATTAAAAGCTAATAGTGATTTGTAACGTTACTTTCACTATGTTTAAGAAATTTTGATTCATTTTATATATCAAGAAACTGATAGTATGTTTAATTTCGTCTAATACGAAGCTATTGGTATCCACCGTACACATAGGCCCAAGAATTCTGTTCACTTAGATTTACGTGTTATATATTTGTATATATATATACATATATATATATATATATATACAAATTATATGATAAAGAGAAAACCTCTCGCGGTGATGGGCGTTCTAAAGGTATATAACTTCCATTATTGTCATTTGACTAAAAGCCCATGCTACTGCAGAGAGTGAATGCTTCAATTAGAGCATTATCTTCCACGCCCAGTTACCTAGCTTAAGTCGCTTATGTCATTAACGCCCAACGATGCTTTTTAATATATAATTATAATTTTGCTTTAAGTGAGACCAAGTTAATATATAGTATAACATTATACGTATAATAGGTCACTAGGTAAATCCCCAAGTTGACAAGTTGACATTAACAACGGAAGAGAACAAAAAAAAGTGATAATATAGATAATAATAATAGAATTTGAAAATTATATAAAAAAAAAAAAAAAAATCATAATAAAAAAAAAAAAAAAGCAATAAGTTGTGTTTTGTATTGAACGAATCAAGCATGGATCCACCTACCGGCCATGGATTTCGGGAGAAACAAAGAACACAACTATTGCAACGATCAAAAGTTTCTATGAAGACCGCCATTGAACCGTTAAAAAAGATGTGCGAAGCACGACAAGTCTTTCATTTTGCTAACAGCGACAGCAAAAATTATGTGAAATCAAACTCCAAACTGTCATCAACGAGTTTAAATAAGAGCGGCAATAAAAATTTCTCAAATGCAACTGGTATCGCCGCTCATATCATCAGCAACAACACGACCGCCACCACCACCATCACCAGCAATACCAACACCAATACCAATATCAACATCAACAGCGCCACCATCAACACCATCACCACCGGCAACAGCAATCAAACTATACAAAATTTAGATTTGTCGAGTTGCTGTAAATACATTCAACCACTGTATTACATCAGCAACATGAAGAGTTTAATAATCAGCTTAATCACTGTCCTTATCTTAAATAATTTTGGCTGCTTCGTCAACACTAATCCCTCAGTTGCAGCATACACGCAACGGGAAAATACTAGAATATTACCGTTACAAGCAGGTAAGATTTAATCGTTAAAAAGAAATTTATAAAAAATTTAATTAGCAATCTCCTGTACATCAGCCGTATGCTCATTACGATGGTCAATGTCTGTTTTATGCTCGTTTTTTTTTTTTTTTTTTTTTTTTTTTTTTTTTTTTTTTTTTTTTTTTAATAAATTTCACATATAAACACGGAGAATTCTTTTTTTTTTTTGAGGTTTCGAGGTATGGAACACGATCGTAAGAGCATATTGCATACAATTGTTGTTATTCTACTACTACTTATATATATTATAAAAGAATTATTGAAAGAAGCGGAGGAAGCAATACAATCGATTAAATTTGTAGCGTTTTTACTATTCAGCTGAAAGGGTTGTTCAACAGTGCAATGGGTAAATATAAATGCTCCTTTCTTTTCTTGGTACCCTGCACTGGACTAAATTCAACTGAATATTAAGATGGTCGAAAATCCACATAAACGTAAGATAAATTGAGCGAAACTTTTCGAGAAAACTACTACTACTTACTTCAAAGCATTGAAAACTCACACTTATTCATATCATTTTCCTGGAAAAAGAAGAAAAATCTCCTTTACTTCATTCCCCTATTAGACCCATCACCGAAGAAAAAGAGATAGATATATTAATTTTGTCAAAACAAGTATAAGTACTAAGAAAGAAAATTCAGAGACTATACCTATAGAGTATACCTATTTTTAACTAGCATCAAATTTTCAATCGGTTTAATTATGTCCATTGGTCCGTCTCTGTGATGTCTGTTGTAAACGGTCTCGTGCCCTCAAAAATGAATCTATCGGATTCAATTTTATAAGAAACATTCGCAATTCGCGCACGCTGATTGGTATTGAATACGATCGAAGGACTCGTCTACCTATACTACCATGTGCCCACCTTCTCAGAGCGCCTCTGTTTTCCAAAAAGAATAAAAAATTGACTTTTCGCTCACTACTCACAACGGCGGATAAGCTTATGCAAATTTGAACTCATGGATAAAATGGGCAAAATTGGCCCCCTCTACCCATTGCTATACTATATCAAAGTTTATTTATTTATTTTTTTTTTTTTTGTCAAAACCTTTATAATGCCAAGAAGCTTGCTTCAAAGCTCCAATGAAATGTGTAAATTCTCTTGATTAATAGAAATACGAAATGCACCTAAGCATGTCCGTCTGGCCGTTGGTCCATTGTGGTAAACATGACCTAGGTCGTTTGAAAAAATTAAGACATCGCCTACAAATTTGTGAAAGAATTTGAAAATGACCTAAAGCATGTCAAAGAATACGTCGGCCAACAGCCAACACCTTTGCTTTCCGCATTTTCTGCTCATTACTCGTAACCTAGAATAGGCACACGCGATCCGAAAAAGGAAATAATAATAATAAAAAGGAAATTCAGCTGCGTCCACTAAAAATTATAAAGTACGAAAAGCTAGTTTTTCATTATTTATAGTCTGTTTTAGTATATCGGTGATCGGTATAAAAGATTCGATTACAACCGAATATAATTTTCTTATTTTTCTAACTTAACTGGTTTTATTCCATTAAATGTTGTCTTAATAGGAAAATATAAAAAAAACAAAAAAAAAAAAAAAAAAAAATGTAATTTTGGGAAATTTACACATTGATACATACCAGCCACACTATACATTTAAAATTGATTGTTTATTTAATCATTTTTATATCATAATTTAGCATTAACTGCAATGACTTCGCTTACAATATATATCGGGAATATGAAGATAATAATTTATGGAGTATTTTTTCTAAGAAAATACTTTAATTCACTTCAATCACTTCAATTCTTCAAAAGTTTCTAACGGATTTTATTTTTATACCCATCACCGAAGGATGACGGGTGTACTTATTTTGCCCAAACGTTTGCAACGTTTTTTCAGTCTTTTTTCACTCTTTCGTAGGGTAACGCAGGTGATGGGGATGAAAAAGATTCAGTCACACCCGAATATAACTCCCTGACCTAATAGTGATTATAATAAATTTATTTATTTATTTATTTATTTTATAGCTAAGTGGACTTGTGTCATATGTATATAAGAAATTGTTCCGGTTCGCCATTTCTCGATCGTTTGTGCAACTGGTTCAAACAGCAAGATGGCGCTTCTCGCGACATTATAGCCGATGCTATAGCCGCCCCATAGAGAAAGGATGTCCCAAACCTTAACCCAGATTTGAATTGAATTGAATAGAAAAAAAGAGTTTTTGGTTTATTTTTAATAGTAATTAATCATAACGTACGTAGGATAGGGTCGTATATGTGAAATAGCACATCGCGTAAGTGGCGTCCACTGGCTTTGCTGGCACATACGGTCTCTCATATCGAAATTTTCAATAACCGTTTCGCATAAATGTGGCTAAACTTTGATAATGCAGCGTGGCCAGCTCCTCCTTCAATGCACGGATAGTTGTGGCCTGGCTAGCATAGATCTATGACTTCAAGTGACTTCATAAAAAAAAAAATCTAATGATGTCAATTACTCTGTTCGCAGTTGGCAAAGTTCTATCAATATTCCAAAGATATTTTATATGAAATTCGCAAACTGTGGCTGCCAAACTTTCGTTGTTCTTAACATATTTTTCAACAATGAAAACGTTCTGCTCACACACAAATGGCGGCAAATTAAAATTTTTCGTAGCAACATTTTGTGACAACCTTTTCTAAATCAAAGGAAATGCAAAATACTTTTCCGGATTATTTACAGCCTGACAATTTTTCCACAATAACGTTAATAAGTAATGTAAGCCCCCCCCCCACCTTGCTCATATCAGGAAATCCGAACATTTTTTTAAATATAGTTTGCTTATAGACAAAAAATGCTATTGAGTTTTATTTATAACTTTCATTACCTTTAGTAGTTTTAAAAGTGAACCGCGCTTTCAAAACGAACGGCACAAATCGCTTTGTATACTTCTTGCCTTTACTTTCTCCCTCTCACTGTTCCTATTTAATTTTTGTTTCTTTTGTTAAAGAGAATGCATTTAATAAATGTCTCCGTTTATCGCGTACAATTGCGCATCGTTTGTTCTCGCTTGACTATGGTCTTATTCTTTGCGACATGACTAATTTTCATCGTCATGAGTAATTTTCATTTACCTGCCAACCAATTTCATAATTTTTAAAATATCCCTCGACTTTTCGAAAAACCAATGGCTTTGAAGCTGAGAGCTTGCATTGCTTCCGTTTACACGAACTGTAAATGTTTTCTAGTACTCTACTGACATTATTGAGAAAAACAACAAAAAAATTAAGTTTCTGCTGAAAACATTTTAGCTTTTAACATGTACTCCGAGATTACATTAAAAGAATATAAAATAGAAAATAATTTAATGTAATATATGCTTCGAAGATATCTTGCACTTCTTTAAAACCTCGACTTTTCTCCAAGGCTGACTGCTGCTCTTAAGTTAGTAATTAAAGCCTTTATTAGACTTTCGGGTCGTCATTCTATAAGTTCTTGTCATTCCTTATAGGACTCGCAATCTTTACCGAACATGAAATACTCAATGATGATACTCAAAAGTAAATGCAAATTAACACCCACTTCTATTTCAGGTTTGGATCAGATTTTACGTGTATACACGTATATACCTAATATTCTTAATCACTATTGGAATGTTGAAACGATTTAAAGGCGTCCGTCTCTATGTCCGTCATTAATGAATTTATCGACTTTCAATTTGATAGAAAAATTGGAAGCAAAGGGGTTAGTATTAAAAATGAACCAAATCGAACGAAAGACACGCCTATAATACAAGACCAACTAAGAATATCTTCATTTTCTCAAAAAAAAAATATATATATATATATAAATTTACATATGTATATATATATATATATTGAGTTGCATTATCATTACTAACAAAGTACAACACATATAGCGATGAACACGAGTTATTCGCACTAGGAATAATCGCGGAGGTCAACTCAATCGATAGTACAATGGCCACGCCTCACTCCGAGGTAACTGACTTTGTAATTACGGTAAACCTGACGAGTATTTTTCAGTAAATATAGGAACGTGGAGAAGAATCGACCATGCTCATGCCGTCTTATAGGACGTTAAAGTTTTTTTTTTTTTTTTTTTTTTTTTGGGTGTTTTGCGTTTGAAATAAGGTAATGATGGAGGTATAGGTGATTCGGCCGCAACTGAATTTAATTTTATTACTTGCTTAATTTCAATGAATGTGGGGAAAAGCTACTTAAAAGCCATTTAAGATACCAAAAATATCTAAATCGTATATCGAACGTTACGAAGATGACCGACCAGATATAATATATTCATTCCTTTAGTAGATTACAGTTCTCTTTCTCTTAATTTGAATTTCTGTTCATTATTTTGTGTTCCTTTGTATCTGCCCCACAAAATAAACAAAATGAAATGAGGGACATAAAAGAAGGAGGGTAAAAGTTTGCGAAAATTGCGACCGGATAAATGACGGCATCATCAAATGTAGGTCTCCATAAAACCGTTTAGTTAAATTACTAAAGTATATTGTTGTTGATTTGCTTACTAGAACTGTACAAAGGTTGAGTGTCAGCAGGCCCACGGCTACGCTATCTAAGCATAATAAAAAAATATAACGGATTTTATATATATTATATTATGTAATAGTGTGTCATAAAAGCGACGCAAACAAGCAAACGCTTGGCAATTTGTGAGCCATAACGTTTACTTTTTTCGCAGCATTGTAACGCAACTCCTAATTGAGTGCTTTAGTTTTGGATATGACATTGGCAATGCACAAGCATTGGCAAAGAGTTGATTTTCGCATATTAATGCATAGTATTCAATAAAATGATTAGACTAAGAATATTAATTCTTATTATGTATATTATTAGGAAGATAAATATAAGATTAAATCAATGTCAAGTCAATTATGAACTGCTTTATCTATTTACGGTCTTTAGTAAGATAGTTCCTCGAAGGACGGACTCGCACGTTGAATTTGATTTTATTGGACTAGGATTGCGAATAGATGACTCTG